AGGCCTGAAGATTACACAAAACCCCCAAACATTATATATTTTCTGAAATTAGAGACCCTAGAGCATAAAACAGTGGTAGTTTCAATTTTGTATGTTGTATTTTTTACCGAAATTTTCCGGTAATATCATGCAAGTTAGTTAATTCTAGGACACAAAAAAAAAAAAAGCAATAAATTACCATTTTTTTTGTAAAATATAAAAGATGAGGTTACAGCAAGTAAATAGATATCCAACATGTCAAACCTTAAATTTGCGTGCACTCGTGAAATGGCGACAAACTTCAGTACCCTATATTTTCTATAGGCGACACTTTTAAAGCCCCTTCTAGGTCATCAGTATAGTGTAACGGAGGAGGTCTGGTGCTAGAATTATTACTCTCATTCTGGCATGCGTGGCGATATGTAACGTGTATCACAATCGACATTTTCGTGCGTAGACACCCCAGTGTGTGCTTTTATGTTTGTATGTATATGTGGGGGGAGATTATGTGCTTGGGTGTAACTTTCATATTTTACAATTAAAAAAAATATTTTTTTTTTTTCTCCTTAATTTTTTTTTTCCATCACATAGAGGACAATGTCCCTTATGTGATTTTTTTGGTGACAGGTTCTCAAGTATAGGCCAGGGTTGTGGGGAAGGAGCCTTTGTCCTCAACATAGGGACAATGGGCTCCATTCACTAAAGCAGATTGCATGCAGTATTTGGGTGGCCCTGTGTAAATAACCCCAAGCCTTTTTTTTTTTTTTTTTTTTACATATTGGCATGGGGTTCCCCTTAAAATCCATACCAGACCCAAAGAGCTTGGTTTAGACTGAGGGGGTCCGTACGCTATTTTTTTTTTTCAATTTTTAATTGCCAGCAGATTAGTCATATTTAAGGATGCTGGTGGCCGAACTCTTAACAACCAGTTATTTACTGTTTGTTAACCTCCCTAGCGGTCTGATTATGTCCATAACCTCCGCAACCTTAACCCTGCCTCCCTCCACTCCGCAGCTGATCAACTCCATGACCGCATCCTCCCCCCTGTCCTGCCCCGACTTGGCTATGACCGCCTACAACAATGCGCTGTCAACAGCCCTTGACTCACTAGCGCCTTTAACCACACGCAACATCAGACCCCGACCGCTCCAGCCCTGGCAGACTGATCACACCAAAACCCTCAAACGACACAGTCGTGCCCTGGAGCGACTATGGCGCAAAACCAAATCCCAACAAGCCTTCACCGGATACAAATCTGCCTTCCACACCTACACCTCCTCCCTCCATACTGCCAAACAAGCCTACTTCCTGACCCTCATCAAGGCCCTCTGCTCCAATCCTCGCCGACTCTTCTCCTCCTTCAACTCTCTACTCTCGCCACCCCCACCTCCACCCAGCACCTCACTCACTGCCCTTGAGATTGCCAATCACTTCAAAAACAAGATTGACACAATTCGCAAGGACATTGCCGCAACTCACACGCCTTCTCAACCCGTCCCCTCTCACACAGCTACCCCCTCATCCCCCCTCCCCCTCCTCGACATAACCCACAGGGACTTTGTCGCTGCTCAAACTCCCTCCAACCCCCTTCCCCCTCACTCAGCTACCCCCTCTACACCCCTCTCCCTCGGCCCCACCACTGCTCTGACCTCCTCTCCCACCCCACCCTAGATTCCTCATACTGAAGCTCCCCCAACACTCTGCACCTTTGACCTTACTACCATCGAAGAAGTCTCCAAGATCCTCTCTGATGCCCGCCTCACCACCTGCCCCCTCGACCCTATCCCCTCAACTCCTACAACCCTCCCTCCCCCTCCATCCTACGCTCCCTCACCACATCTTCAATCTCTCCCTCTCCTCCGGCACTTTCCCTTCCCCTCTGAAACATGCACACATCACCCCCATACTTAAAAAGCCCTCCCTGGAGCCCAATGACCTGAACAACCTCAGACCCATCTCCCTGCTCCCATTTACATCTAAAACTCCTCGAGCGCCTAGTCTACGCGCGCCTATGCTCCTCTCACCTCAACGACAACAACCTCCTCGATCCCCTACAGTCCGGCTTCCGTCCCCTACACTCCACCGAAACTGCCTTACTCAAACTCTCCAACGACCTGCTAACCGCCAAAGCTAATGGCCACTAATCAGTGCTCCTACTCCTTGACCTCTCTGCAGCCTTTGACACAGTCGACCACCCCCTCCTCCTCAAAAAACTACACTCCCTCGGCCTCAGACTCCACCTACCCCAGCGCTTCCCCTACAACAAAACCACACCGATTCTGCTCTCTCCTGGCTCTCATCCTACCCGTCACAACGCTCTTTCAGCGTTACCTATAATGCCACCACCTCCCTCTCACTCCCCCTCTCCGTTGGGGTCCCTCAAGGCTCAGTCCTCGGGCCCCTTCTCTTCTCCATCTACACCTCCTCCCCTTGGCCAACTCATACACTCTCACGGCTTCAACTACCACCTCTATGCCGACGACACACAAATCTATCTCTCAACCCCCCACCTCACCCCCCCTCGGTCTCCGCCCGTTTCTTGTCTTCCCTCCAGCCCGTCACCACCCCCCATTGACTTCTCCATCATGTCCAACAACGCCACCATCAAACCCGCCCCGCAGGCCAGAATACTTGGTGTCATTTTGGACTCCAACCTATCCTTCCAGCCCCAAGTCCACTCTTTAACAAACTCGTGCAGACTCCACCTCCGCAACATCGCCAAAATCCGCACATTCCTAACTCCAGAAACCACTAAACAGCTCATCCACTCCCTCATCATATCACGACTCGACTACTGCAACTCCCTCCTCACTGGCCTGCCTCGCCGCTGGCTATCCCGCTTCAGTCCATCCTGAATACGGCTGCCAGACTCATTCACCTTTCCAACCGCTCCGTTTCCGCCACCCCCCTCTCTGCCAATCCCTCCACTGGCTTCCGATTGCGCAACGGATCAAATTCAAAATCCTAACGCTGACGTACAAAGCTGTCCACCATACTGCCCCGAACTACATCACTGACCTAATATCCAAGTACCGCCCAGCACGCACACTCCGCTCCTCACAAGACCTCCTTCTCTCTAGTTCCCTGGTCTCCTCCTCCCATGCCCGCCTCCAGGACTTCTCCAGGGTGTCACCCATCCTCTGGAACTCCCTGCCCCAACCCATCAGATTATCACCTACTCTCCTCTCCTTTAGGCGCACCCTGAAAACCCATCTCTTCAGGGAAGCCTACCCCGCCCCCTGCTAACTTGCCGACCTCCTCCACTCTTCCTACCACTCCATCCCCCACAGCTATCTCCTCCTGTGCCACCATCCCCTCCCTCCTAGATTGTAAGCTCGAAAGAGCAGGGCCCTCGATCCCCTCATGTTTTGCATTGTATTGGTATTGTTCTGTCACATGTTCTGTTCCCCTCTGTAATGTACAGCGCTGAGCGAACTATTGGCGCTTTATAAATACTGTATAATAATAATATTTCTGTGCTCAAAGCGGTACATTTTTTTGCATGGAAATATGTTTTTTTATTGTAGGCCTGTAATTTTCAGGAATAACTCACTGAAATCTGTCCGAACAAGAGTCTAGTAAACATCCCGGGTAGGATAAAACTTGAAACACAAAATCATAAATTATAATTTAATAATCATAAAAAATTATAATAATTTTAATTCAATAATATAATCAAAGCAAAAACACTGAAATTTGAAATATAGCGCCAAGTTCGCACATCACTGAGCAAAGTCGCAAAATCGTTTTCAGTTTCTGATGACGAATTTCCCCACGAATCATTATCATTCAATTCTGCAAGTGGTTCTGATTTACTATCGCTGTTCTCTAGTCGGTCTAAATCCGATTTTGACCTAAAAGGGATGCTTTTTGGACGCCATGGACTTTTCTCAGTTTCCAGGCAGAAAGAACAGTAAAAATGCAGGCAGGGCACAGGACAAAGCACTAGGGACAAAATGTATGTGAAATGGTTTGATACAGTAATGTTTTACTATGATTTTAGTGAATGTCACTTTTTGTCATTTTCAAATTTCCCACCGTTCCGTCCCCCGTACGTCCCGACGCTCACAGGGGACGGAACCCAGCACCCGCCAGATTACATTGCCGGGGACACTGCAGGAGGGACATCACGGGAGCACAGGGCAAGGTGAGGGATCGAGGGATTGTGGAGCAGCGCCGCATGGTAAGCCCCAGTGTAGCTCGGGGTTACTGCTTGAGGTACTGAAACTTTACCCTGAGCTACACTCGGGAATACCGCCAGGGAGGCTACAGATGTCAGTGTTAAAATACCACAAGCCTTCACTACTAAAATACTGCATCCCTTGAAAAAATAGCACATGCAGTATTTTAGCAGCATTTTTCAGTGAATTGAAAAAAAAATTTTTGAAAAAAAAAAAAAAAAAAAAAAAAACACAACAAAAAGTTGTATTTACTATATTTCTTAAAGTGGTAGCTACCGCTTCGCGAATGGAACCCATTGTGCTTTACCAAGACCCTTCCCCCACGTTGAGGACATGTGGTAAGGTTAAGGAAGGGGTACACACTTGTCCCCCACTTTCCTGGCTCGGATTAAGGGTCTGGATTTTTAGAGAGACGCCACACTTGTGTGCAGTACCCCCATATAATCTATGCAGGACTCAAACGTAATCTGGTATGTATTTTGGAGGGGGCTCTACATGCGTTGTTTTCCATTCTTGCTTTAGTTTTTGCTACAGAAAGTGACATTGAAAAAGGAAAAAAAAGTGATACAGTTTAAATTACCAGCAAATTACATTTGTCATTGCAGGCTTGGGAAAAAAAATCCCGAAAAACACACAAAACAGAACAATGAACCTTCCAAAGTCCCAACAAATACATAGCAGAACCTTGAAATGTCATTAGCCCACAATTAACTGCCTCCTGCCCGCCATATAAGGAAATGACGGATGCAAGGTGGTTCTCTCGTTCTGGGGGCACGCAGCGCAGCGCTCGGTGGTGCGCTGTGTTCCTGGGACACAGCGGATCACCGATCAGCTGAAAGAGCCGATGACTTCGGCTCTGTCATGGGATCAGCTGTGTGCAATCACAGCTGATCGCATGTATATAAGGAAATGCCAGTTATTGGCATTTCTCTCCTCACAAGTGGTCATGCTGACAGCTTGTGAGGAGAGGAGAGCTGGTAGTCAGCATTCTTCAGATGGGACATCTACAAGGACCATCAGGGCACTGATAATCAGTGCCCTGATGATCAGTGTAGCCCCCTCAAGGCCACCTGTCAGTGCCCATCAATGCCACATATCAGTGCCCATCTGAGCTTCCTTTCAGTGCCAACTATCAGTGCCAGTCAATGCCATATATGAGTACTGCCTTTCAGTGCCCATCAGTGATGACTGTCAATGCCCATCAGTACCACCTGCCACCTATCAGTGCAGTTGTTTTTGGTTTATCAAAAAATTAAAAAAACTCAGTGGTGATTAAATACCACCAAAAGAAAGCTCCGTCTCAAAAAAATGATAAAAATTTCATATGGGTAGTGTTGCATGACCGCGCAACTGTCATTCAAATTGCGACAGCGCCAAAAGCTGAAAATTGGCCTGGGCAGGAAGGGAGTGAAAGTGCCCGGTAGGCAAGTGGTTAAAAACCTTTCTTCTTTGTAAATGTCAGTGCTGCTACAGTATCTCGAGATATGCACCTTTACAGGCAGGATTAGGACATCCCTGGGCATGTTAGTTAAAGGAGTTGGGCATTTTTTAAATGTTTAACTTTAAAGCGCTGGTAAACTCCACAGATTTTTTTTTCTATGTAAAGGGCCCCCTGCAGCGTTATGCCATGCACCACATACTAGCACATTATGGAAGACTTACCTGTCAAATGCAGCCCTCCGGCGCTGACCTGTCACTGCTCTCGATGCTTCTATCCTCATCTGGTCCTCCTTGTGGGTTCACATTTTCTGGCAGTTTGAATAGCTGGACGTTCCTACGCATGCGCACTTGATGTCATCTCCTGGAGCTGATCTGAATATCTACTAAATGACACAAGGTTAGTAGATATTCAAAGTACCTACATATAAGATTTATTATAACCTTAACTGTAGGTACAAGTTTAAAATAAATGTTTACTGCGGGAAAAAAAAAAAAAAAAAAAGGAATCACAGCTCCAGGCCAAAAAGTCCTAAACGCCCAGGGAGGAGGTGGGGAAGGACTGACCACCACAGTGGTCACATGAACAAGAGCTCGTCCTGCTGATCACACTGAACAGACAGCTGCTGGAGAGTAAACTGCAGCAGTTGACTTGTCCAGGAGCTGTATGTTACGACTGAGGTAGAGGGCGGTGTGGTGTGTGATTGAGCTCCCTTTTTTTTTCTAATTTACAGTGAAATTTTTTTTACGTGTACAAAAAAGGGACACCTCATTCATGACTATTTATACAATGTCATGCAATTCTGTACAGCGCGCTGCGATAAAATGCAGCTCAGGACTGCACTGCAGTGTGAATAGGACACACAGAAAATTGTTTTCTGTGTATCCTTTTGGTGACTAGTGCTTATGTGCAGTTTCTGGCATTTTACTGCACTGTCAGTGTGAACTGGCCCTAAGGCTTTATTTAGTCTAGGTTACTTTAACTGACAATTGCATGGTCATGCAATGCTGTACAAAAATTAAATTGATGTCCTTTTTCCCCACAAATAGAGCTTTTTTTGGTGGTATTTGATGACCTGTGCGGTTTTATTTTTTTACACTATAAACAAAAAAGGACTGACAATTTTGAAAAGAAAAAAAAAAAAAAATATATACTTTTGACTTTTTGCTATAAAACAGTACAAAAAAAAAAAAAAAAAAAAATCTAAATTTCTTCATAAATGTAGGCCAAAATGTATTCTGCTACATGTCTGCTGAAAAAAAAATCCCAATACATGTAAATTGTTGGTTTACAGGAAAGTTATAGTATCTACAAATGGCGGTGTATATATACTGGAATTTTTATACTAGTAATGGAAGCGATCAGCGACTTATAGTGGGACTACGGCGAGCATTCTGACACCGGGTAGGAACTGATTAACTGCCACTGACATCCCAATGACACTAATACAGTGATCAATGCTAATAAAAAGCACTGACACTGTACTAATGAAACTGGGCAGGAAGGGGTTAACATCTGGGGCAATCAAAGGGTTAACCGTGTGCCGTTTTACATAATGTGCTGTGTGTTTTACTAGGGAGACATGCCGATGTGTATTTCTCTGTTGCGCAGAGAAATACGCAGCAGCATGTCCTTGCTGGCAGAAGAGAGCCCTGTGTTGTTTACATACAGATCTCACCCGTCAGTTCTACACTGCGATCGCTGGGTGCCGGCGGGGACTCGGTGATTGACATCCGTAGCTGCCAATGGCAGCGCGGGTAGGGTGGTACGCATGCACGCATCCTACCCGGAAATGCAGATACATGATTTTGCGCAGCCCTGCCACCCTGTATCAGTACTTCAACTATAAGGCGGAGGGCAAGCGGTTAGTAAATCAGCCTCTCTACATTATAGCTCTCATTGCTTCAATTGGTTCGAAAGGTTGAATGTTTTTTACCTTTATGTATTCTATGCATGAACGTAAAATACCTGTGTGCAGCAGCCCCCAATCCTCACCTGAGCCCCCTCCGATCCAGCAACATTCTCAACAGCCTGTGCTGTCTGGGGACTCTTCCTCCTCATTGGCTGAGACAGCACTGGGAGCCCATTGACTCCTGCTGCTGTCAATCACAGCCAGTGAGCCAAAGCAAAGAGTGGGGGTGAGCCGAGCAGCAGCTCTGTGTGTCTTATGGACGCACTGAGCAGCAGCTCGGGGGACCAGCACGCAGCAGTGCCCCCAGGGAGACATGCTGATGTGCATTTCTCTGTTGTGCAGAGAAATACACAGCAGCATGTCCTTGCTGGCAGAAGAGAGCTCTGTCTTCTTTACACAGGTTTCTCCTTTGTCAGTTCTAAACGCTGATTGCTGGGTGCCGGCGGGGAATCTCCAGCTGGGACCCGATGATTGACATCCGCAGCCACCAATGGCGGTGCGGGTAGGGCGGCATGCGTGCACGCCCCCTACCTAGAAATGCAAATCACATATATATACACGTGATTTTGCGCAGCCCTGCCGCCCTGTACCAGTAGTTCTACTATAGGGCGGTTGGAAAGCGGTTAAAATAAGCACAGCCATGCTGGGCTTTGCCCACCTGGCTGCATCACTCATTCACAGAGTCATGTGAATGGAAGAACTACAACTACCATCCGCCATTGCTGCCTGCCTGTATGAGGTACAAGCAGACAGATACATTGACAGTCTGCAGGAGCATTGTATTGCACCAGAGATCTGCTGATCGTGGGTGCAATGCTTTACAGCAGTGGTCTCCAAACCGCAGCCTGGGGGCTGGATGTGGCACTTTGCTTGCCCCTACCTGCCCCTTGGGGCACTATTTCACCAACATACACTAATGATGGGGCACAATTCCCCCTACTGATACCATCAATGGGGCACTATTCTTCCCACTTATACCAACAACATGGCACTATTCCTACCACTAAAACAGATGGGGCATTTTCTACTCCCACTGGACAAAGTCTGCCCCGCCCCCCCGAAGGACAGTAAGCTGGCCCTTTGCTTAGAAAGTTTGGAGACCCCCTGCTTTACAGGGTCCTAATAAAAAAAAAAAAAAATTAACCTACAAAAAGATGTGTATTTATTAATTTTTTTTAAAGGTGAACTTGTTTTTTAAAAAGCACCCTTTAGACCAGCCTCTCTCAAACTTTTCACCCCCAAGGAACGCTTGCAATAATTTTCAGGTCTTCGGATACCCCTCCTAAGTTTTGTCCATTGGGGGTTACTAGGAAAGTGCCACTGACATTGGTGGAGGTAAGTGGGAAGAATGCCCCTCCCCCTTATAGTGATACCTATGACTCTGCCAAATGATGTCGCGCCTAGAACAGGGGTGGCGAACACGCGGCTCTCGAGCCGCATGCGGCTCCCGGCCAAAATGAATGCGGCTCTTTGCTCTTACTTCTTTGATCTTACCTGTTCCTCTATCCAGCGGCGCGCTGTCTTCCGGCTTCTGTAGTGTGGGCACTGGGCATGACAGCCGGGTGCCAAGTGCGCATGCGCAAGAAGCGGTGCTTTTTGTGAATGGTAAGGCGGTACCTGGGACACATGACAGATCCCAGAAGCCGCTGGACCAATCACAAAGCGCAAGTGCTTCTCGCTCATGCGCACTGGGCACCCGGCTGTCATGCGGAGCGCCATTACAGAAGCCGGGAAGACAGCGCGCGGCTGGATCGAGGAACAGGTAAGATCAAACAAAAACTCTGCGGAAGTAAGAGCGGGTACCTGTCAAATTCAGGTACCCGCTCCCCACCTCCCCACAGGTCAGCAGTCATCTGTGCTGTCCGCAGTCTCTGGTCATCCCTGTGCTGTCCGCAGTCTCTGGTCATCCCTGTGCTGTCCGCAGTCTCTGGTCATCCCTGTGCTGTCCGCAGTCTCTGGTCATCCCTGTGCTGTCCGCAGTCTCTGGTCATCCCTGTGCTGTCCGCAGTCTCTGGTCATCCCTGTGCTGTCCGCAGTCTCTGGTCATCCCTGTGCTGTCCGCAGTCTCTGGTCATCCCTGTGTTTTGTAAGGGGAAGAAAGTGTTATGGTGAATAATATGGTTTTAATTATGTGTTTTTGTGCGAGTGTTTGTCTGTTTTGGCAGGTCACTGCGTGGGGTGGCTCTCTGACTTTCAGTTTAAAATTTTGGCTCTTTGTGTCTAACTTGTTCGCCACCCCTGGCCTAGAACTATGAGGTCAGTTAGCCTCAGCTCAAGTAACCCTTAGCCACTTCTGGAGGAACCCTGGTTTAGAATGGCTGCTTTAGACACTGCACACGTTAGCAGACGGCAAAAGGTTAAAGTGTTACTGAACCCAGGACCCTTTATTCAGTATATTTGGTCTCCCACAGTACACACAACATGGAAAGGCAATTCATTTAGTAAATATAAACTGCTGAATACCTTTTCTGATCAGCTGTTAGAGCAGTCTTGTGGCTTCTATCAGTGTCCAGCAGAGCACTGGTTAAAGCTTGTAGTTTTCTTTCTGCCCTAGGAGGATGCAAAACCCCTGATCCTCTCTCTGGACAGAGCCGAATGGCCCTGTGCTAATCACATGCACTTGCCCAAGAAAATTTTTTTTAAAAAAAAACCCCACAGTAAACTGAGCATGTACATGTGGACTACGGGTTCAGTCGGTCTTATCAGGTGGACATTTAAACAAGAGGAGGGGCAGAGAAAACAGGACCAAATGGCCTTCTTACACAATTCAGAGGATTAACCCCTTAGGGTCCACAGTGAATATAACATGCATGCTTTACTGCTTATACAGTCTGATTTTACTGTTGTGGGTTTAGT